GACTGGCTGCAAGACGTGGTACCATGCAGAGGGGTGTCTATAGCCATTGATGCTGTCACAGGCTCCAGTACTGCAGCTGTCAGAGAAGGCAACTGTTGGGGTGGTACTGAAGCTGGTGACCTCACTTAATGGGCTACCAGGTTGTTTGGCCATTCCATAAACAAATGGTCCTGTTCCCTTTGTGTTTCCTTGAGGAAGTTGTCGAGCAGTTTCTCCTTCCAGTTCTCTATCACTGCAGAACATCTCAACCATAGTTCTCATGTATATCCTTCATTGATGGACAGTCCTCTCTCTAGGAGTCCTGGTTGGATGAGGGTTGGTCCATCTAAGGTGGAAGTACTTCCTGGATAATGAAAGAGTCTTTTTTTTTTATCGTGGAGAGAAAAGAGAGGGGGAAATGACTTTACATTCTGCTTTAACACAAGGACAAAGTTCACAATACTTTATCTTTATGTAATGCTTTTCTTGCTTCTTTATAAAATGTACTATTCAGAAGTTCCTGCTAACACTGGCAGCTTACAGACTTACTGTGTTAAGAATAATATATTAAAAAAATAACAGTTTGGGCCAAGCACAGGGATGATGAGGTGAAGTCTTAATAAGGGCACTGTTACCACTGTGAAGTCTAACATTGTTTCAGACAGGGAAAGACTTAGAAATATAAATCTCTTGGAAGTATCAGATGGAAAAGAGAAGTAATTTCCTAGATCAGTGGTGGAATTCCATCTACCCATGCAAGGGAGAAAATTTTTGGTGTCTAGTAACTGAACAGCACATCAGAGTGTGTGGAGAAAAGTAAACTACTAGGGTGGTGCCAGCAAGTTTTCCCTGACCAGAAATCTGACTGAATAGAGTTCCTGCTGCAAGACAAATTGTCAAGCAGCACTTGCCAGGAGAGGATGAAAATTGGGGTGAACATTAACAGGATGCTGAACTAGGATGCAGAGACTTACTAAAAACAGAATGGAGCTTACCTTCCTTTTGCCCTGCTCCAGGCCAGGCAGAATCTCAGAAACAAACAAAACAAGAAGGACAAGCACTAAGTCCAAAATAGGCTCTACCACAGCAAAAATAGGAAGAAACAATAGAGGGAGAGTGTGAGCAACAGTAATAAGAACATGTGTTTACATAGGACAAATATGTACTCACCTAGATGTTTTTAAACTTAAATATTTTTAAAATTATGAGCTATACAAAAATAAATAAACATCAGGAGTCCCTGGCTATTTATCTAGCCACTGTCTAGAATGTCATTTTACATAAATTCAGTGATCCAGATTCATCCCTGATGCAGCCCTATGACATCATTGGGTTTACACCAGGGATTCATTTGGCCCAGTAAGTAGGATTCGTTAATTTCTAATAGATAATTTATTTATACTGGATATACCAGCTCTTCAGAAGCTCAATAATGGCTGAAATTAAATTCCTTAGTAAAGCTAAGCATTTTTTGTTCTTCAGAGACATTGTAGGGCAGTGTAGCCATTGGTGAGTGAAAAATTAGTTATTTGTGTTTTGCCAGTAATATTGATCTGATTGGAACATTGCAAGAAAATGTTCAAAAATTCCTAGAAAGAACAGTCATAAAAGCAGAAAAGTTAGATCCAAAGATAATGGCGATACCTTAATTTGTTGAAAAGATGAAGATACTTGTACCCAAATATGGGGAAGCATTGGAGTGCACTAAGTGTTTCAAATAGCTGGGTAACATGACTGCAGGGATGCTAAACATCACTATGAGATCTGAAATCGAAGTGGATTTGCAAATGCTACGTTAGCAACATTGAGCCACATTTGGAGCAGTAAAGGTATTACTGTGACATATAAAATGAAGTTGCAGCAGTCTTTTGTCTTCAGCATCTTGCTATATGCATGCGAGACACAGATACTAAGGAAATAATGATAGAGATGTAGCCGTGTTAGTCTGGTGTAGCTGAAACAAAATACAGGACTATGTAGCACTTTAAAGACTAACAAGATGGTTTATTAGATGATGAGCTTTCGTGGGCCAGACCCACTTCCTCAGATCAAATAATGGAAGAAAATAGTCACAACCATATGTACCAAAGGATACAATTTTAAAAAAATGAACACACATGAAAAGGACAAATCACATTACAGAACAGAAGGGGCATGT